TTCGTGACCAGGCAGGGTCAGGGGAGTTGTGCCCAATATGGCTTTCACTCCTCCCCCAAATCTGCCCATCACTGCATCCTATGCATTTCAGCAACTAAGTGACCCAGATCTGCCACTGTCCTGACCCAGCTTCTCTCCTCCGTGCTCTCTGAGGTCTCCCCTGCCTTCTCTGTCAGCTGCCTGAGGGCACTGTGCCAAAGGGAGCCTTGTCACAGCCTCAACAGAAAGTGTGGCCCCCACAGCCTGCAGCTACATCCTCGGGATGCTGTGCCCAGACTGTTGGTATCAACACCAAGGTTTATGCCAGCCTCTTACTGTCCTTCACAGCACCTGCAAGGTGCCTATGGGGTGGTCCCCAGTTAAACCTCTGAGAAGAGCCAGGTGTGGTGGAGTGTGCCTTTAATCCCAGACCTTGGGAGGGGGATGCAGGAGGATTGTGAATTTAATGCCTAGCCTGGGCTGGGCGCTGGTGGCTCACACCTGTAATCCTAGGTACTTGGCAGGCTGAGATCAGGAGGATCCCAGTTCAAGGTTAGGCTGAGCAAATAGTTTGAGAGACTGTCTCCAAAATAACCAAAGCCAGGTGCTGGTGGCTCATGCCTGTAATCCTGGCTACCCAGAAGGCAGAGATCAGGAGGATCACGGTTTGAAGCCAACCCGGGCAAACAGTTCACGAGACCCTATCTCAACAAAACCCATCATGGAAAAGGACTGGCAGAGTGGCTCCAGGTGTAGACCCTGAGTTCAAACCCCTACAAAACCAAAACCAAAATAACCACAGCAAAATGGACTGGAGGCGTGGCTCAAGTGGTAGAGCGCCTGCTTTGCAAGCGTGAAGCCCTGGGTTCAAACCCCAGTCCCACCAAAAAAAGAGGTTTCTGACAGAAGGCAAACTCATCCCACAAACAAAACAACACAACACCATGTGGCATCTCATCTCTAAGGAGCTTTTCCGGTCTCCAACCTGTCACCTGTCCTGTCACACTCTTGCTGGAGGAGACAGGCAAGTCCCTGTGACCCCAGGAGGGGACTCTGGAAGCTTTGCGGCCTGTTCCTCTGGACTCTCCCGTGCACCTCGTCCCTTTGCTGATTTGAACCTGTGTCCTTTTGCTGCGATACATCTCAGTCCTGAGTGCACGTGTGTGCGGGCTCCTAGGAGCCCTCCCGGTGAGGCGCTGAACCTGGGGTGGGCTTGGGGACCCTGCCATTCTCCTTTATTTAAAATTCTTAAAACTAAAGAGCCTAACACCATCCAGAGCCACATCCCAGTGGCTCTGCCACCTTCTGACCCCACCTTTCCCTCTCCCTGCACGGTCTTCATTCAGCCTTCCCATTAGACAGGTGCCTCCGGCCACAGGGCCTTTGCACATGCAAATTTCTCCAAAAGGGGACTATGTAACTCCCTTTCACCCTGTCACCTGCCTTCTTTCTCCTCTTTCAGGTCCCTCGCAAGCACCCCCGCTTCAGGGAGCTGGCTAGGCCTCCCCACTGCATGCTCATGAGGCCCCCACATTCCTCTCCTGTGGGGTTACACCTACTTAATATTGTGGAGTCCCTGCTCACACCACAACTTCATACCTGGAGACCTCGGCTCCCACCCGCACACGGGGACGGGAATGCAGCCCAGGGCAGCCGATCTCCCGGGGGCGGGGGAGGCAGGACGCACCAGGCCCAGCTCACCTGACCCACGCCCCGCCGCGCCCACTTGTGTCTGAGGCTGCCTATTTTTAAAATCAGGGAAGTCTTTAAATAAGCGTAGAAGTTTTTCCTTCCCTAGGGTGGGGAGGAAGTTCGAGGTTCAAGAAAACAACCCGTGCCAGCTGATGGCTCAGCCCTGGTCTTGCTCCACAACCTCCTCCCCCATTCCTATAGGGTCAGGAGGCCCAACTGGCAGACCACAGGCTCAGGAACTGAGAACAGAGAGGCCAAGTGACTTACCCCAGGTCACACAGCAAGTGAGAAGCAGAGCCAGAGCTCCAACCTGGGCTGCCGGGCACAGTGCCCTCTCCTCACTAATGAACCCTAATGAACCCCCTGCCTGGTGGGGAGTGTGGGGCTGCTCTTCTCCGTAAGATGTCACACACTCCGTCTCCTGGCACACTGACATGCTCGGTCTGTGCCAATGGATGGTTACTGTGTGACACACTCTGCTGTTACCCATTTCATTCTGCGTTTTTGTTTTGGTTTTTTGGCAATACTGGGATTTGAACTCAGGGTCTCTCCCTTGCTAGGCAGGTGCTCTACCACTTGAGATACTCCCAAGCCCTTTTTCACTTCAGTTATTCTTCACGTATTGCATTTTTACCCAGGCCAGCTCAGACCTGGTTCCACCTACCTACGCCTCCCAGTAGCTGGGATGAAGACGCACGCCACCACGCCCAGCTTTTTATTGGTTGCGATGGGGTCTCCAGAACCTTTTGTCTAGGCTGGCCTCAAACCTCAATCTTCCTGATCTTTGCCAACTGTGAGCTGGGATTACAGGTGTGCTCTACCTTGCCCAGCTCATTCTATTTCATTTCTTTCTTTTTTTTTTTGCAGTACTTAGGTTTGAATTCAGGGCCTTCACCTTGAGCCACTCCACCAGCCCTTTTTTGCGATGTGTTTTTTCAAGATAGAGTCTCGAAAGGGAGGCGGGGAAAGGTTGGGGGAGGAGGGCAAGGGGTTGAAATGACCCAAACAATGTACGCACATGTGAATAAATGAATAATTAAAAAAATTAATTAGTTAATAAAGATAGAGTCTCGAGTACTATTTGCCAGGACAGGTTTTGTTTTTTGATTTTTGTTTGTTTTTTGTTTTGGCAGAACTGGGGTTTGAGCTCAGGGCCTTGTGCTTGCTAAGCAGGCGCTCTACTGCTTGATCCACACTTCCAGTCCCCAGACTGGTTTTGAACCTCGATCCTCCTGATCCAATCAGCACAGGTATGGCAACTGCCAACTTTCAACAAGGTGACAGCCAGTGCAGGAAAAGAGTCACAGCTGCTCCTGGAGCAGGAGGCCTTGCACACCAGGCTCCACTGTGCTTTCCCCAGAGAGACCTCTACAATCACCTAGCCGGAGAGTGGGGCCAGAGGTGGGCTGCAAACCACTCTTGTCCCCCTGACAGAGGCATGTCTCCCATCCTGGCCATGGTGGCTGTCCCAGGCACCTGCTAAGCGCACTATCTTATTAAATCTTCACCTCGACTCTACGAGCCAGTGTTATTGCTCCATTTTACAGAGGACAAAACTGAGGCTCAGAGAAACTGAGGCTCATGTTCACAGCTGTCCCTGGGGCTAAGCGCCCCGCTGCCTTCTCTGGTCATGGCTGCTTTCTTCCCAAAAATAAGAAGAGTGGGAGGCTAAAAAACTCCACGAGCAAACCTGAGAACTCAGGCTTTTCAAAACAGAGGCACTTGACAAGGGTCAGCCTGGAAAAGGAGTGGTCCTTAGACCAGGAAGAGGTGAATAACCCCAAAGTGCTCCTGGCCTGTGTCCCCGGCTCCCCACAAAGGGACCAGCCTCTGTGTGGTGACACAGGTGCCCCACCTTCAAGTTCCCCAAGGTGTGTCCCCTGTCGGTTCTGCATTCTAGTCCCTGCTTTCCCTGCAGGATCTGTGCCCTGGGGCAGGCCTGTGACAAGTCCCTGCCAACCCTGCTTCTTGTCCCTACACACACAGCTTCACTGAGACCCCAGACCCATGAGGACCTCGGTCCCATTCCACCTGCTGTGGTTCGCGGGGGCGATCAGCCCTTTCTCTGCATCTATTTCACTTAGTGTCACTAAATCCACCTCCATCTACCATGTCTCTTCCTGTCCCCACCTTTTGGTTACAATTGAGGAGTGCGGGGCAGTGCCTTTCTTTCCATCGGTCATTTTCAGCGCTGTGTCACATGTGCACCCCAAATGGCAGCACGTGTTTTCTTCTTCACAGTGCGTGAAATCCGGAATCTCCGATCAACAGCGCCCAACGCGCTGGGAAACTGAGGAGCAAGCTGAACCTTCTCCTTTGCACGAGCTGCTTACTTTCCCATTAGTGCAATGACCAGGCGTGGATATGGATGTTTTCAGGATTGCTTTTTTTTTGGTGGTATTGGGATTTGAACTCAGGTCCCTGCACTTGGTAGGCAGGTGCTCTACCACTTGAGGCACACCCCCAGCCCTTTTTGCTTTTAGTTTGTTTTTCAGATAGGGTCTCCTGCTTTTGCCCAGGCCGACATCAAACTGAGATTCTTCTACCTCCACCTCCCAAGTAGCTGGGATTACAGGCGTGCACCACAGTCTAACCAGCAGCAAGCTGGTTCTGGTTTGCCTGACTTGAGTAGGAAACTGGGAATGTTTTGTAGAAAACAGGAATGATCTGTGTGTTGTTCTCCTGTCTTTCTTCCACACTCACTTTTTTCCCAACAATACCTGGGGTGCACAGAGCACCCCGCTCACAACTCGCTGGGGTCATCAATGTGAAGAAATGCAAGGTCACCATTGTTACCATTCCCTAGGCCTGTTTACTGTCACTTTGGCTTCTGGGGACTTTGCCCACTGCTACCCAGTTAGTACTGCCCTGGCCAGGCCCCCAGAACCCCTGTGGGAATAGGTGAACAGGAAACTGGTGCCCATTTTGGCCTAGTCCTCAGTTCACAACCAACACCCCCATCCCAACAAACTTGTACCCCAGATGTCCATAACAGAGCTTATTAGTCCCACTTGGGACGGCCACAGGGCACAGGAAGTAAATCATTTGCTTTGAGTCAGGCCTAGCTGTGTGGTGCTGAGCCAGTGTCAGTGGCAAGGAAAAGAAATCTTTTCCCATTTTCCAGATAAGGAAACTGAGGCTCAGAGGGGTGTAGGGCTTGGCTCTTTGGCTTGTGATTAATTAAACTACAAAGCTGAGATTCTCAGCTCTCTAGAGGTTTTGTGAAGCCCTGCTGTGACCACGGGGACAGTGGACACACCCTGACCAGGGCTTCTGGTCTCCCAGCTGGGAGGTCCCTTCAACACTGCAGACCACTCAGCGCGATTTACCTTTTCGTCCCAGGATGCCATTTTCCTGCTGTCTCTGGGTCTGGAAAGTAAGAGGACAATCTGTCAGCTGTCACCCTGCTGTTAGCTTTGAGTTAAATAGTATCTGTGCTCAAAACATATATAGAAGGACCTGACACCTGGTGTGCACCCAAAAAAATTGGAAACAGCACACAGGAGTGTTGGCAATGGCCCAAGGTGGAAACAACCCCAGTGTTCCTCCACAGACCAGCGGATACACAGAATTCAAGACCACATGTAGGAATATTATTCGGCCATAAAAAGGAGAGAAGCACTGTCACATGCAACACCATGGAAGACTCTTGCAACACTGTGCTAAGGGATGGCAGTTAGACACAAAATGTCACAAGCTATGATGCCCATTTCTATGAAATGTCCACAATGGCCAAAGCCATGGCCACAGAGGGCGGATTGGTGATGGCCAGGGGCGGGGAGGGAGAGTGGGGAGTAGCTTATTTATGAGTATGGGTTTCCTTTTGGGGTGATGAGAATGTTCTGGAAGTAGATACAGGGGATGGCTTCAGAGTATTGTGAGTGTATTAAACACTACTGAGTCGTTCACTTTAAAATGATTCCTTTTATGCGATTGGAAGTTCAACCCAACAGCAAAAGACAGACAGACAGACGTTACACTGTTGGGTTTGCTCTGAAAAGCAGCAAAGGATCCAAACGGCCACCCACGGGGCACTGGGGGAGGTGATGACATCTGATGGTGAGAGACGCTCAGATGGATGTGGAAAGGCAAAAACCCCAAAAATCCCATTATGGTGCAGCGTGCACAGGATGACCCCAGCTACGTAACAAAAATACACAAGTTCTTCACATTTTTTAACCTATGTGCAGAAAACCAGCTTCACAGTGGTTCTCTGTGGAGGAGAAGGGGTAATTTGAGCAGCAGTGTTGGGAGGTTTTTCCCCTTCTCTTTGCTTCTTGGGAGCCTGAACTTTTACAATGACTATGTGTTACTTTTCAAAATTATTTTTAACTTTGGTAACATATGCAGTTAGTAAAATATTTAAATAATACAGAAAGAGAGGCAATGGCAAGGAGTTAAGTCTCCCCTTCTAAGCCCTCCACCTTCCTGCAAGCACCCACCTTACCAGTGCCCTGTCACCTCCCAGGGTGTCTGTGCCTCACTCTCCCACCTTCCTTCTTAAACAAATGTGAGCCCACACGCTCCCCTTAGGGTGTTGCAGGCAGAATAATGCCCAGCCCCACGCCGGGCAAGGCCATGGCTTGATCTCTGGAACCCCTGAGCAGGTGGCATAAAGACTTTGCAGATGGGGCGAAGGACCCCATTAATCAGAATGGTTTTGTAAGTGGAGGCTGGAGACCCAACAGAGTAGAGTGGGGAGCAGAGAGGGCTGGCTTCGGAGAGAGGAAGGGGCCCCATGCCAGCAACGTGGCACCGTTAGAGGCTGGGAAAGGGAGGCAGAAATACACCCCCACACCCCCGAGCCTCCCTGGCAACACGGACCTGGCAACACCTTGATTTGGGCCCCTAGGACTGATTTTGGTGTGTGACCCACAGAACTGTAAGCTCACACACGTCCAAGTTTGTGGTCACTCATTCAAGTCCAAGGGCGCTCACTGGACCACACAGGCCTCCCCTGTAGGACACAGCCAGTCCACATTCACGCAGTGCTTCCCAGCTTTCTGCTCCAGAGCTCCAGTGACCATGCTTGAGGATTTTTGTTTGTTTGTTTGTTTGCTTGCACAGCACTGGGGTTTAAACTCAGGACCTCACTTGCTAGGCAGGCTTGCACACTTGAGTTATTTTTATCATTAAAAAATACTACCATTTTGAAAAAAAATATTCACAGAGGCTGAAAAACACCCTTTTCCTCACTGCAGGGGCACGCTGAGGACACCTAGAAGTCAAAGGGCTTCTTGCTGGTCAGCTGACAGCGCACCTTCCTGGGCCAACCCCCTGGGCCTTATCCTGCCTGCCCTCAGGATTGTGTTGGTGGCTCACCTACTAAGGCGGCAGAGATCAGGAGGATCACAGTTTGAAGCCAGTCTGGGCAAATAGTTGGAGAGACCTATCTCGAAAACACCCATCACAAAAAGGGCTGGTGGAGTGGCTCAAGGTATGGGGCCTGAATTCAAACCCCAGTATTGCAGAAAAAAAAAGGACCCATTGCCAGGAGCCTACGGGGGGCCAAAAGGGTGAGGACCACAGACCCTGGAGATTTCCCTCCCCAAGCTAGGAAAAGAAAACTTGCCCAGGACCGGAAAAAGCCCCAGCACCACCCATTCAGGTAGCAGGAAATGTTAGACAATCTTGTCCTTCCAGGCAAACTAGCCAAAACAAGTAAAAATGATAACACCCAATGCTGGTGGGGCTGTGGAGAAACTTACAGTGCTGGGGATAATTGTTCTAAGTGCCTTCAAAATGATCTACCCTGGACTCCAACACTTCATCTTGGAAACTATGTTTTAAAGAATATATTTAATAGCAAACAAACAAACAAAAAACCCGTGCACAATATAGACAACAATGTTTACAGCTAAAACCTGGAAAGACCTTGCTTAAGGGAAAAGCTGAAGATGGCAGCAGGCTGGGAGGAGAAACATTGCTGAGATCTAGGCAGAAGTGTAGAAAGAACACTGTTAAGCAGCCCCAAGCTGGAAACAGAGAACTCTGATGGTTGGATACACTGCCTGCCACTGGGCCTGCCCCAGGCTCCGAGCTGGGCTCTGGGGAAGACAAGGGGAAGATACAAGGTGAAGGTTAGGGCTTCAGCAGGATGGTGTTTCAGTGAGAGACAAAACACCAAAGCAACAGAAGCCAGATTACACCCCAGGGCAGTGCTGGGGAGAAAGCAGAACAGAGGAAGCTATGATAGCTGGTGAGCGGGTGCAGTGGTCAGACTTCTGAGGAAGTGATGTCAACCGTGTTTGCAGATTTTTCAAGGGGCAAAGTCTTCTTGAAAAGACTAAGGGGAAGGGGTCACCCACAGGGAAAGGAGCATGTGCACAGGAAAGTTATCCTACAGGAAAGTTGAGTGTGGTGGCTCATGCCTGTAATCTCAGCCATTCAAGAGGCAAATATCAAGAGGTTTGAGGCTTTAAACTAGCCCGGGCAAAAAGTTAGCAAGACCCCATCTCAGTAAACAAACTGGCCATGATAACACACACTGTAATTCTAGCTAAGTAGTAGGTATGGGTGGGTATCTCAGTTTGATGACAGCCCTGGACAAAAACATGAGACTCTATCTAAAAAATAACCAAAGTAAACAGGACTGGGATTGGCTAAAAGATAAAGCACCTGCCTAGCAAGTGCAAGGCCCCGAGTTCAAAACCATCACCTCCCCCTGCCAAAAAAAAAAAAAAAAAAAAAAACTCTTAGAGGAAAGAAAGCCCTGCTAGGGCAGGAGAGAGGAGGTCACCAGGCGTCTGGGACTTCTAAGAAAGGCTGAGGATTTGGAGGTCAAGAGCAGCAGTAGTGACGCCATGGGGAGGCCAGGGATGAAGGTAGCCTAGATTTGGGGGTCTCAGTGGGACTGTGGTGGCCAGATTCAGTACATGTTTAGGGGCAGATCTTGCTGCTGGGCTACATGGGCTGGGGGAGGAGATGGAGGATGGTGGCTCCGGAGACACCAGTGCTAGGAGAGGTGGTCTGAGGACACCACCACTCTGGGCTTCCTCCTTCTTGCTAAACCAGGGGCAGGGAGGGCTGGAGGGTGGCACTGCAGCAATGGACTTGTGCAAAACCCCGGGCTGCCCCAGTCTCCCGCCCAGGGGAGTCACAGGGGAGAAGCAGGGGAAGAAGTGGCTGCCCCCAGCCTTGACCTTGCTCAAGAGTTGCCAGTGGAGCTGTGTGGAAATTCTGCAGACCGCAGACAGCTTAAAGGGGTCCAGGACAGAGAAACGCTTTCAGAGGGGCCGGGACGAGGGTGATCAAGACACAGCAGCTAGGCAGTGGCTTGTGCCAGAGGCTGGGCTAAGCTGTCACACCAGGCAGCTCACTTAATCTTCTCACGGGTCTATGGGTTAGCACTGCACAGAACCCCATGGGGCAGATAAGGAGACTGAGGCTCAGAGAGGCACAGTCACACAGCTAAGCCCTTCTGGGTAGAGGCCCAGATTCCTGGAAGGATCTGGGGAGAACTGGTCTCCCTGCTCTGTCCTGGAGTTTGCTGGGGTCCCAAGCCCTCCATTCTTATTCCTCAGCAGCCTGACCCCAAGGGTGGCAGTTTAGGGTGCTGCCTGATCTCCTCCCACTGGGATGGGGGCTGCTTCCTTCTCTCTCCCTGGGGGACCTCAGGACCTCTGTCCCCCTCTCCCTGGAGGCAGGGAGTCCAAAGGCCGGGGCTTCACAGACCTGCTGCACAGTCAGGCTGGGCTGCCCTCACTGTGACCGAGGATCAGGCTGGACTCTCCTGGCGGTGACAGGGCCAGGCTTCTGCACCTTTCTCCACCTGTAGAGGAGCCCGCGATGGTACCGCCTTGCACTGGCCGGGCAAGCGCCCACTGGGCAGCGGCTGCCCGCGGCTCCCCAGCCCTCACCCCCCTCCCCACCCACCTGATCCCCTCCCTCCCGGGGCAGGACGGGGGTCCCGGGGTGGTGGGGACGAGGGGACCCCGTTCGTCCCCAGCACTCACCCCGCCCCGCCCGGCCGGCCCCGCTGTCCTGCGGACGGACAAAGGTCCCGCCTGGGTCGGGTTGCGAATCACTGGAGTCCTGGAGGGGCGTGGCGGGGGCGTGGAGGGGGCGTGGCGGGGAGGGGGCGTGGCGGGAGGGGACACGCACTTCCTTCCTCCGCCGCCCCCCGCCCCCCGCAGCCCGGCCTCGGCGACTTCCGGCTATGAACCGCAGGGTGGGGGCTCCCCGAGGTGGCGCTCAGGCTGCAGGCGAAGGGGACGCAGCTCCAGGGCCACGTGGGCAGGAGGAGGGGACCCTCGCCACCCCCCCTCCCCGCGCTGTCACCTGGGCTAAGCGGTTCAGTCGCCTGCTTTCCCGTATGGGCCAAGGCGGGTGGAGGGTGGGGGCGGCCCAGCTCCCTGGGGTCCGTGAATTTCCTGCAGCTGCGGCCTAAGCAGCGCCTGCAGGGTCGAGACTGCAGTGTGGCAGGGCTGTCTGTGCCCATGCGGGGGCTGGGGTCACCAGCCTGGCTGCCCAGCTCACAGAGCCGCCTGGGGCCCTGTCTTAGTCTTTCCTCCTCTGCTTGCAACTCAGTCTCCTCCCTCCCTCTTAGAAGATCACTGGGGTTACTGTCTGGACAGGTCCCCTACCACCTCCTGTTCCTACTGTGGGTCCTTGGCTGGATCCAGGCTGCGGGTGAATATCAGAGCTGAGAAAGGACAGTGAAGGTTTTAGCAGTTTCACAGGTCCCTGGGCCTTTTCCCAAGAGTGAAGGCAGTGGGAAGAAATGGCCAGAGCACCAGGCTTTATTTTCTCAATGCAGAAGGGACAGTAAATTGGTGAAGGAAGGACAGGACCAGGGCGGGGACACATGTCACTGAGATGTATGGGACAGGGGAGGGAGAAGCTGGGGAACACTAGGGTTACTTCAGAGTGTTCAGGTTCTCTGCAGCACCTGTGATGGATGGTGACAAGCCACTTTCCAGCCTCAGTGGGTGAAGGGCGTCCTTCATGGCTTACTGCTGAGTGTAGGCAAGCATGGACCAGACGACTCTGTCTGACTTTACACCTCAAGTAACCCAGCTACCAAGCTGGCGGATTTGGAGACGGCCCCTCTTTACCTTTTACCGACTTCGTTTCATTTAACTCACCTGTGTAATCCAGGACAAAAAACAAAAAACAACAACAACAAAAAAAAACCACAATGGCTCAACGCCTGTAATCCTAGCTACTCAGGAGGCAGAGATCAGGAGGATCTCGATTCAAAGCCAGTCCAGGCAAGTAGTTCTCAAGACCCTATTTGGAAAACATCACAAAAAAGGGCCGGTGGAGCGGCTCAACTGGTAAGAGCGCTTTTTAGCAAGCATGAGTTCAAACCCCAGTGCTGTGAAAAAAAAAAAAAAAAAAGGATTGATACTTTGGTTTGGGCTTTGTTTCTGGCTCAGTGGCCTACGTCTAATCCCAGCTACTGTGGAGGTGGAGTTTGGAAGGATTGCAGTTAGAGACCAGCCTAGGCAAAAAGTTACTGAGACCACCATCTCAATGAAGAAGCTGGGTGTGGTGTTGCCTGTCTGTCATCCCCTACCTACAGGATAGGTGTAGGTAGGAGGATCATAGTCTGAAGTCAGCTGGGGAAAATCGTAAGACTCTTTCTGAAAAATAAAACAAAAAAGGCTGGTGGCATAGCAAGGTGAGGTCCTTGAGTTCAAACCCCAGTACTGCCCCAAACCAAATAAACAATAACAAACCCTCACCTTAATCACATGGGCAGGCTTCTCTTTGCCACCCAAGGATCTGGGATTAGATCGGGAAGCATGTGCGGAACACTTCTCTGCCTCCCACAGGGGTTTTGTCTCCATTGGTGTCTACTGACTCTGCCTTCCCCATTCTGCGGGCTGCACACTTCCTTAAAACCAGTTTAGTGGGATCTGACTCCTCGCATTTTGTCATTCTAATAGTCCCGTCCCAGTTCCTAAGGTGCAGTCTGACCCATCATAAACTTTGGCTTCTTCTCCCACAGGGCATCTGGGCAGAGTGGAGAGACCGGAGCCTCCCCCAACCCCCTCCTCTACACTCTCTCCCCTCTGGTGGGAAGGCAGAGGAGAGGGAACAGGTGTCCCGTCATCTAATGGCACATCTGGATGGGCCACTTGTATGTTGTGCTCCTGTATTGGCTATTAGCAATTGGTCCTGTTGGTAGTTGTAAGCTTAGGACAGACAGGTAGTGGCTTAGAGAGGCAAGACTCAAACCCTGGCCCTGGCTGCATCCTCTGTCTGGTCCCCTCCCTGCTGGAGGCCTTGCTCAGTGTTCTTTCTATGAGCCTCTTTGCCTCTCTGCCCCACACTGCAGAGGCCCTGGCAAAGCCTGGAGCTGTTAACCCTACCTACCCTGGGGTCCCCAGCAGATGCTCTCCCAAGGGAGCAGCTCAGCATTCTGAAGAAGCTGGAAATGTCCTCCACGTTGCCATCATCATGGAAATCCTCTGCTACTCAAGTCTTCTCAGAGGACAGAAAAAGATTTCAACTGTGTATCTTTATTCCCAGCTTAGACTTTGACACACAGTAGGTACTTTACATTACCATTGAGTAAATTAGTATGTAAGAATTGGGCGTAATAAGATAGACGTACCCACCATCAGTGTTGCTACTCAATATTGTACTGAAGATCCTTGCCAATGCAATAAGACAAGAAAAGAAACAAAGAAGTTGCAAAGATTAAAAAGAGAGACTATCATTTGCAATCAGTGTGATTATCTATGTAGAAAATCCAAGCGACTCAACAGACCGATGTTGGGCCTCCTACCTGGTATCCTTTCCAATACTCAATATAAGATGAAGACGCATCCTCTGTTCTCACAGAGCTTCCATTTAGTTGTTCTAGTTCCAACAAAACTAGAGCAACCTATATGGTCCACGGAAAGAATCCAGGGAGCCCGTGGACTTGGGTGGGGGAAAAAAATTACATTTTAATTTTCATTAACCTCACTGAAATTCACCATTTCTTTCAATTATGAATTTAGGTAACAAATGACAGTTGTATTAGCAATACCAATCCTGTGTCATCAATTGGAACTGTAGCTATTTTGAAATCACAGTAGCTATTGTAGATAACTTAAAATACAACTTATACTTATCAGTACTTCAAAATTCTAGTCCTTAAAGTTTAATGTGTTCACAAAGAACTTCATGCATTTATCATGATTTTAAAAATGATTTAAATTGCATTTCAAGATGACTTGGGCTTTATAATATGATGCACTGAAACCCACTGAGAAGAGGTTCAGAGACTTTGTCAGTTGTCAGAGGGCCCCAGGTTACAAACAGATTTGGGGCTGTGTTGGAAGAAGGACTTGTTCTTTGAGCAAAGCCAAAATGGTTCTCTTGCACAAAGAAGTTCCTGCCCCACCCCTCTCCTTCACATTTCTACCCAGCAGGGAGCCAGATTTGCTTTGAGTAAGTGTCTACTGTCATCCTGGAAACTGTCCTGGCTTCCGCTGGTCAGGGAGCATCTCAAGAAAGATCTGAGCCCCTTCCTGGGGGAGGAGCACAGCTATCTCTGCTGGCCTCAGTGTCTCCAGAGCACTGGCAGTGGTTCGCCTGATCACTTCCCTTCCTAGGGCACAGCCAGCTCCTGGCTCTAGGAGCATGTGAGAAAATGAAAGAGAGAAGTACATGAAATTTTCAGACCGGAAAGGGCTGTTTGGATTTCCCAGAGTTACATCTGGTGCTGCCTGCGTCCAGAGGCACCTTTCCCAGCATGTGATTCAGCTTCGGCAGTGACAGCCACATGACAAGATCTGCACAAGGCTTGGGTTCTTATGTGTGATGCTGCAGCTACACTGAAAGGGTGTGGCACTTGCTCAGCAAACACCAGGCTCTGGGTTCAAACTCCAGCACTGTATAAAGGGAAGGGATGGTTAATTCCAACCTCCCTGCCCTGATAATAGGTTCCAACTTCTGCCTCATGTCTTAGAATCACATGGAAGAGCAGGACTATAGGAGTTGCCACTAAAGACACCCAGGGCTCAGTCCTGCCTCCGTCCCTTCCCTTCCTCGCAGAGCAACCTGTCAATAACTGAGCATCCAGAGGTGAACCAACCAGGCAGGTCCCGTCTGCTTGCATCAGACCTACTGTGTGCAGCAGGGAGTGAAGACCAAATTACAAAGGGAAAAAATATTATAAAGGAGTAACACCAGGGTCATGGCAAACAATAACAGAGGTGGGGATAGAGATGCACTGGGGTTTGAACTCAGGGCCTCATACTTGCTGGGCAGGCACTGTACCACTTGAGCCACTCCACCAGCCCCAGGGACAACCTTCTAATTAGAATAGCATGTGCAAAGGGCCTGAGGTGGGAGAGAGCTTGTCCCGATAAGAAACTGAAGGAGGCCAAGATTATCGAAGTGTCATAGGTGAGGAAATGCGTGTGAAGTGAAGCCAGAGGGGAGGGGGAAGCTCATGCACAGAGCAAGAAACCATGGGAGTTTTAAACACGGATGGCAACAATATAATTTTTTTATTATAAAATATACAGTGGGTGGCACTTAGTACACTTAGCACACTTAGCATCCTGTAGCTTTCATTCCTGCCACTTCCAGATCTTCCTTGTCTCACACAACACCCCTGAAAGCAGCAACTCCCCCAAGCCCCAGGCTCCCACAAATCTGCCCTCTATCTCTGGATTTGCTTATTCTACAACTCACGGTCTGTGCACTTGGGATCAATTTCTTGAGGCTTCCCTGGTCTGTAGCAGGTGACAGGGCTTCGTTCCTTTGTGGCTCAACCACATTCTGTGACATGGACATGCCATGCTGTTTATTTACTTATCTGCTGATGTTGTTTGATGTAAAAAAGATGACTGGCAGTCATCTCCCTGTATAGCTATCCTTATCTCAACTAGCAAAAACCCTTGTTCCTTCTTATTACTGCTTATACTCTCTCTTCAACAAAACTAGAGATAAGGGCAAAATAGTTTCTGCCTGGGTAGTGAGGGGGTGGGGGGGTGGGGGAAGGGGGAAGAAATGACCCAAACATTGTATGCACATATGAATAAAATAAAAATTTAAAAATAAATAGATAAATAAA